GGCTGGTTTTTGGCATCTTCTGTGCTACTAAAAGCTGGGCTCCTAGCTGGACCTGTTTTCCCACCATGCCACACATGGGGTAACTATGGGGCAGAGGTTCTTATGGATGAGATCAGGGTTGCAAGGTGTCCAAGGCTGCCCCCCCCATCAGGTAACAGCACCAGCAGAGGCACCTGCGGTATGCAGGAAACCCAGGCAAGTCCAAAAAGTCTCTGATGCTGATGGGAAACTTCCTGGCACTGCTTGGTGGATGGGAAAAGAAAGCCATGAATTTCAGCATAACATGATTATAAGGCAGAACTTGTATGAAGTCCCACTTTTCTCATACTACAGTACTCTGTCCTGAGTTTTGCACTCACTGCCCATGCAGCTCAGCTTGTTGCACATTCTACTCAACCCAGCTTTAAGCTGCCCTTAAGCTCTTACCAGGTCAGACAGACCTGTCTAGGAAGCTTGGGCCTCATCCGAGCCAGCTAACACATCTGATCCAGCACAACTCTCCTGGCCTGCTCCAGGTTTTAAAACCACTATTTCAAGTTTATTATTATTAAGACATATTTTTAACTACGTCTTCTATTCTGGCTTGGACAGACCTCCTCTGTCCGCCTAGAGCTTGCTGAAGGAGGGATGCTGAAAGGCTTGATGCAGTTGTGCCTCCTGCAGGTGACATGGGCTGGACAGCGTTAGTAAAACATGGTTTCCGAAGCATAACATATGCCTGTTTGCCCAGGTCTCGTTTGACTCACAGGCATAAACACAAGTGTCACTGCTGAGGTCAGGAGGGAAACCTCTCAATTTGCTGTGCGGCCAAGGCTCACGTCATGCTCTTTCCTGTCTAGTCAATTTGCTCCGTGAGATGGATTTCCTCCTTCAGCGGATGTACGAGACACTGTCACTGCTTGCTGCAGCCCCTTGGCAGGCTGCATGGCCTCCTGCCATCCAACCATGTGCTGTCTCCAGATGAGTGGCATCTATTGAGTTCCTGTCACTTCAAATGCTGCCATACCTCTCTGCTGGCCCTTGGGAGGTACAGAAACATTGCCATCATGAGTCCCTGGCAGCTATTGACAGCCGGCATGGAGCTGCAGAGCCCAGGGACATGATGGCATCATCCACCAGCCTCTTTCTGTAACGCCTGGCAGGCACAGCTGGACAAACTTATACTGCCTTGTAAAATCCAGCATGGGAACGCTAACAAGGAGACCTGCTTCCTGCAGCTTTGGTCTCTCTCAACAGGAAGTGGTGTTGGCACCTGAGGCCATGGGACCAAAAGCCACAGGAGCTGAGGCCACAGGGAGGTGCTGAGAACTACAGCAAGTACCAGGAGTGTGCAAGGATCAAGCACAGCTTCTAGCTCACCTTGTTGACCTCTGAGCCAGACAACAAGAATATGTTCTGTGCCACCAGGGCTGCCAGTTATCACAGAATCATAGAATAGTTAGGGTTGGAAAGGACCTTAAGATCATCAAGTTCCAACTCCTCCTGCCATGGGCAGGGACACCTCACACTAAACCATCTCACCCAAGGCTCTGTCCAACCTGGCCTTGAACACTGCCAGGGATGGAGCATTTATCACTTCTTTGGGCAACCTGTTCCTAAATTAGCCAGGGGGTGTCCTGTAGAGGTGTGTGTTCTTCTCACTCATACCACTGATACAAGACAGGAGTGCCTGACAAGCCAGACGGTTGTGCTGCCATTCAGAGACAGGCTGGAGAAATGGGCTGACAGGGACCTCATGCAGTTCTACCCAGGACAGTGCACAGTCCTACACCTACACCTGGGCAGGAACAAGCCCATACATTAGGAAATGCTGGGGGCCACCCACCTGGAAAGCAGCTTGGCAGCAGAAAGCCCTGGGGGTGCTGGTGGACACCAAGTTGAACATGAGCCAGAAACGTGCCTTTGCAGCAAAGGTGGTGAATGCCCTGGGGTGCATTAGGGGGAATGCTGTGATACTTCCCCTCTGCTCAGCACTGGTGAGGCCATGCCTGCATTCAGTTCTGCACTGAGACATCGGCATACTGGAGAGAGACCAGCGGAGGACACTCACGGCGAAGGGACTGGAGCATCTCTCCTGTAAGGAAATGCTGAGCGAGCCGGGACTGCTCAGCCCGCGGGAGGCCCAGGGTGGTCTCGGGCAAGCCAGCGCTGGCTCTCTGCCCCGGATATGAGGCATTTTAACTGCAAAGAACTTGAACTAGCGACAGCCCCAAGGCCCGGGCTGGCTCAGCCGGGCGCTGCGCGGGGCTGCGGAGCCACGCGGTGGTGCTGCGCCCCTGCGGAGCGGGGCGGCCTCGGCGGGGACAGTCCGGGAGCGGCGGCTGGGCCGGGGGCCTGCGCGGGGTCACCCGGCCTCGGCACCGCGCATCCCGCAGGGAGCGGGGCCCCGAGCTCTCCTGGAGCGCTGCGTCTGTGCCTCCCGGTCCTGCCCAGCTCGGCAGCCCCTGACATCACACCGAATGACACCCCGTGCCCAGCGTCCAGCTCAGCCCAGGTCTGAAGCCTCCCCCTATGGCCTGACTTGATGTCCCTTGTGACAACGGTGCTCACAACATGCTGCCCAGTCCTGGCCGCCCAGATCAGCACAAGGAGGTGGAAGGTGCTTTCAGACCGCCTTTCAGGAGTCGGGGGGGGGCAGGTTTTTTGCATCCACAGCTCCTGGCACTGAGATGCTCTGCAGGTCTGCTAGATTCCTTTATTCCCCAGCCCCGGTGATGTTTTCACTTGTGGCACTTGAAGAGCACCATCTACCTGCTTCCTTGGGCAGGCCTGGCTCTGCACTAGACCAACTGCACAGAATGGGGTCAGGCATGGGGACACTGGCACCTCCTACTCAGGCTAAGAGCTGAGCCATCCTTCTTCAGCAAGACAGAAATGCCAAAGCCACACTTGATTACTCCACTGTCCTCTGTCTGTGGGTTTTCTTGGTTTTTTTCTTGAAGGGGGAATGCTGAGAGTTAGAGATGACCACAGTGATCCCAAAGTGCTTGCCACTGTCTCCTCTTGCCCCCAAAGGACAGCTTTAAACTTGTCTTTAACCCAAGCTAAATACCACCAGAAAGGCTTTCTTCACCTTATTAAAAAACAAAAACAAACAAACAAACAAAAAACCACACAAAAAAACCAAACACCCCAAAATCAAGAAAGGATGCCAATGATATGTGAATTCCTTCTTTTCCATTGTAAAATACTGTGGTCGATTTGTTTTTCTCCTTTTTTCCAGCCTTTAGAAGTTACTGCTGGGAAAAGGCTTCAGAAGTTTTAGGTGCTGCTTGCAATGGGACCTCTTGGAGCTGCTCTCAGCTGCTAACCTTGACAGTGACACAACTGCCTGGGGCCCGATGCTCGAAGCCACCTGGAGGCCCCACTGTGCACAGGCTGGGGCTCCAAAAGCCCTGGTCTCACAGCTTCAGAGCAGTCTGTGCTGACAGATGGAGCAGCTACCCCCGAGGAAGCTCAGCTGTTGTCATCACGGAGCAATGGAAACAGAAGTGAAGGAGCTGGTGCCCAAGGGGCTTTTTATCCTTAAGAGAGCTTGATGGGGGAGGCTTACAGAAATGCCTTTCTTCTACTGCTCTTCAGTTGCTTGAAGGTTCACTGTCCCTGTCCTCCCACCCTCTCCAGTTGCTTCCCCTCCTGCTCGGTTCTGCTCAGCCTTGCTGCGGAGACTCAAACATTCCTGTCCCCTTCTGCACAGGCTTCAGTTCCCAGAGAGGCTGAAGGAGAGGAAGGCACAGCGCCACGCCATACACAGCCTGCGGTCCTGGCCCTGGAGTCAGCAGCTTCTGCCGCCCCCCATGCCACAGCAGCTTCCTCTCTCACACAGAATGTTTTTCTTTGTGTTTGGCAGCTCCATCCCCACAGACCATCCCTGGGAGACAGCAATGGGATGGGAGAGGTGGAGCCCCCCTAGAGAGGTGCCTGGTCCCAGGACTGCAAGCGCCAGTTCTGGGGCGGTTTGAGGACATGTGTGCATTAAGGACTGGGGGTGCTTTGCTCGCACACAGCCTCACTTCATCGAGAGGTTCACGTGGCCCCTCTTGCCACCCACTGTGTCTGTGGCTTCTTCCTGTGACCCATGAGCAGGTTTTGAGGCAACTGTGAGCCTGTGCCATAACTGGAGCATGGTGCTGGCATGTGTTTGACCTCCATCAGTACATTTATAAGGGCATCTCAGGTTTCTTCATGTGTCAGTGAGGCCCAGACATCCTCAGGGCAGTGCAGACACCTACGCAGTGGAGGATGCTGCGACTGCTTTCTGCGGGAACAGTGCGTCCAAGACGTTTCCGTTTGGCAGGAGGCACAGGAGGATACAGGACTGCCAGAGTGGGGCCGCTTCCCAGCGGCATCAGCCTAAATGTCAGTAAGCACATGGAGGTCTGCGCTCATGGCTAGCAGCCTGTGTTTGAAACATGAACTGCTTGCGTGACCCCAGCACATACAGTGTTGTGCATGCACATGCAGGAGTGTTGTGCTGTGCCCTGCCATCAGCACAGCTTCCTTGTGACCCTAAGTACGTGGAGGATGAGAGCCAGGCTGTTACTGGAGATGGAAAAGGAGCCAGGCAGGCTATAAACTTTCCTGTCCCCACCAGCTCCCTGTCAAGCTGCAGGGGTAGGATGCGCAGGTTTGCTTGATGCAGACAGGCGATGTGGGTTATTTTGGGAGAGAAGGGTTGCAGCCCTCCAGAGAAGCCGCATGTGAGGGAGCAGGAGATGCCCAACTCACCCCCAGCCCCTTTCTGGCCGCAGCCTCTCCCACAGGGGCAGCTTGAGCACCGACCCCTGTCCCCGCCGGGCTGGGGCTAGGCTGCAGGCAGCCCCCGCCGCAGGTGGGAAGCACCGCCCGGGGCGGCCCCGGTCCCGCCCCGCGGCCCGCTCGGCCCCGCCTGGGGGCCTATCCCGCTGCGGAGGGAGGACCGGAGGGAGGGAGAACGGACCGACCGGGGCGGGAGTCCTGCCCTGCCCGGCCCCGCCCCGCCCGCGCCTGCCGCGCCGCACCTGAGCGAGCAGCGGCGGCTCCGCGCTGACCCTGGCCCCTCCGCCGCCCGCCCATGGCTCGGCCGCTGCCGCTGCTGCTCTGCCTGGCCGCGCTGGGCGCCGGCTGCCGAGCAGGGTCCCCCCCCGCCGGTACGGCCGGGCCCTCCGCCGAGCCGCTGCAGGACGAGGCGGACAACCAGGAGAACATCCTCTCCCAGGTACCTGCTGGCGACGAGAGGGGCACCGCGGGGGCAGGGGGGGGAGTGTGGCTGGGGGATGCTGTGTGCATCCAGGGCCGTGCTGGATGTGCTGGGGGATGCTGGATGTGCGTGCTCGGCGGTGCTGGGGGATGCTGTGCGCACTCCGGCGCTCATCGGCGATGCTAGGGTGGATATCCCTGCAGGGAGTTTTATCGCCCCGGGGTGCAGTGAACTCCCCGCAGCCCAGAGGGGAGCAGTTCACAGCCTCCATCCTATCGTTTCTGTGGGGGAAGCTCAAAAACCGGGGAGCTCTTTAGGAAGGGAATTGGTGGAGCCTCTTTGTGTGCAGAGGGGAGGGATCCAGGCTCTTTCCCCGCCAGTGGGATGTGGTGGAGGTTTCTATTAGATTTGGCCGATCAGACTGTGTGTTATTATCTGCCCTCGGAAATGGCTAATGTGGAGTCTATTGGAAATGTACCGTCAAAGTTATTTTTGTGCTTGGGCTTTCAGAAGCTCTGTCTGCAAATCTCTGTAAAGGAAATTCCTGGCATTGTATGGGGCTAATCAGAAATACTGCTTCACCACCAGGTTACGCTGCTCATAGGGTGGCTTTCAGTAACCCTTCCCGTGCACCCTTACCCCGTTTGCCCATGTGAAAAAAACCTTGTTCAGGCTGACAGGTGACTTACTGGGTTTATTGGACACAGAGCATTAAAAGACATCAGGATGGAGTTCTTATTTAAAATTCCTGTATTTAAGATTCCAAGTGGCTAGGTCCACTGTATGCCAAGTGGAATAAAAACCACCCTATTGGGAGAAGCCAGTTTTTATTCCCCTTGTAGGCAGGGACCAGAAAGCTCTGCACTCTCTAGAAAACTTGCTGGATTTTGGAAGAGCTGGCCAGTTTCCTTGAGGTTTAGGGTGCCCAAAGTGTCCTTGTTTGGACTGTGAAGTCCAGGGTGCCCTTGTCCCTTGCTGGGCAAGCAGAGGAGAAGACGTTTGCTAACTGCTGGTGACCTGTGCTCAGCTGTTAGGTGACTATGACAAGGTGAAGGCGGTGTCCGAAGGCTCTGACTGTCGGTGCAAATGCCTGGTCAGGCCTCTGGGCCGTGGTGCCTGCCAAAGGATTAACGAAGGCGCGTTCAAAGCGGAGGATTTCTACACGGTGGAAACCATCACATCAGGACCCAGCTGCAAGTGTGCATGCGTGGCCCCCCCTTCGGCACTCAACCCCTGCGAGGGGGACTTCAGGCTGAAGAAGCTGCGGGAGGCGGAGAGCAGTGACCTGAAGGTAGGAGAGCACCTTGAATTTGGGATTCTTCTGGGAGGGGAAGATCTTCTGAAGCCTTTTATTTCGGGGCTTTTTTAAAAACAACTTTTTTTCCTAAACTTTATTTTATAAAACATCTCCTAGTTACCTTTATGTCTGCATGTTTGATATGAAAATCAATCTCAGCTTAAGGGATTGATGTGAGCAGCTGCAGATTCACCCCATTCACTCCATGCTGCCTGGGGTCCCCTGTGGCTGCCTGTGCTGGAAGCCTAGGAGGGACTGGGCTGCTCCTTGCCCTTTGTCCAGCACTGCATGTCCCTGGGGCACAGCTCTACAGCTGCCAGGTCCGTTTCCGGACACAGAAAGGGGCTCCTAAGGGCCCATGCAAAAAGCTGTTCTGGCTTCAGGGGCCAAAAGCTGCTGATGCGTCAGTGTGAGGGTGTGTTACACAGCTGGCTGATGGCAGCATGGGTTTTGTTGGTTTAAATGCTGACACTTCTGTTCTATTCCGTATTTTGTCTCTTTAGTAGTATCTCCCTCTCTTCGAAATGTGACAGTGTTTGTTCCAAGTACTTGCGGCTTTGAGTGGATGCTTACTTTTGCTGGTCTATCAGGTGGCAGCAGACCCTGCTGGGTTTTCCAGTTTGTTACCTGCACAGGGCAGCAGAAATCCTCCCTAAAGGGCCACTGGTTTGGTCCAGCCCTGGGGAGTTCCTAGAACAAAAGGTTGAGTGCTGGGATGTACCCTGGGGCAGTGCTGCTCATCCCAGCTCAGGTGGGAAAGCAGGCAGCATGCAAGGTGCTGTGGGGCAGCCTGCCACTGGGGCCACCGTGATGGGCTTGTTCTAATTAACTTGGAGCTCAAGGGTGTGTTTTGTCTTGTCGGACTGCAGACAGTTAGCAGCTTCTTGTCCAAGCTTCCCTGCAGCTAGGGAAGATAAACAGGCACAGGCAGATAATCCATCATTTCAGAGAAGGAGGAGACCCAGCCTGGAGTTGTTTGGTGGTCCCTCGTCTGCAGAAGCAGCCAGGATGTCCCACTTGGCCTTGGATGAAGAGCTGGGAGCTCCCTGTGGTTAGGGGTGGGGACACCCTCCGAGGTGACAGAGCCACCCCTGTAGTCTCTCACCGGGAAGCAGGCTCCTTCACCAGCAGCTCACACCCCCTTTCCCTGTCCTCTCCAGAGCTGGTCGGCCTCCAGGAGGAGCAGAGCGGCATGGCTAGCTGCACCCTTGGCTCCGGCTGCCTCTTCCCACCAGGGAGCAGCTCACAGCCAGCTGTGGTGTGAAAGCTTGTCCTCTAGGAACTGGCCCAGGCTGCCCCGCTCATTTCACAAGGATTTGCAGCCAAACGTTTTCACAAGGTTTATCCAAATACACACACGTGGGGTTTTTCTGTGCTGCAAGAGTCAAACCCCAGGAGCTGTGAAAACAGGCTTGCATCCTCGCCGGGCACAGAGCCCCTCCTGAGGTCGAGCTCGCTGGGAAGAGCCACCTCTTGTAGGAGACGATGAGAAGCAGGAGGGGATACAGCCTCAGCTCGTGTGTGACTCATGAGGAGCAGCTCCCACGCTCATCGGCAGGGGGGCCGGCAAACCCAGGCCTCCTCATTGCTCCTAACAGCCCCAGGGCTGGTCTCATGGGCGTTGTTCTGCCCCCTGCAGCAGCGGGAAGCATGTAGAGTCGTGCTCTATGTCGGTTGTGTTTTATGAGGCTTTCTTATGCTCCGACTCAAAAGCCCTGGGTACTCCACATGTGGGAGAGCCGTAAGAAGCTCCCTAAAATGAGAGCCCCCCCCTTTATGAGGGATGGGCTGGAGGATGTCCCCCTGAGGGAGCAGTGAGGAAGGGAGTAGATAAGCCCAGGCAGCAGGAATGTACCCCTGAGCCACCCCAGCTCAGCTGAATGGCTGCGCTGAGCATCCCAGCTGAAGGTTTCAGTCCCATCTGTGCCTTTAATAAGGTCCCATAGGACTTTATGGACCATCAGGCCAGTGAGAGCAAAGTCTGCAGCTGGTGAAGGAAAGGAAACATCAAGTTGGTGTGTATCAGCATGATCTTTTTGGGAGGCTCAGCTTCGGATTGGCAGGGGTAGCTAAATCTAAGATCTATTTTTGTGAAGTGGCAGCATGCTGCTTCCCTGCTTGCAGGCACAGTGTGTGTTCTGGGGTCTGGGGTGCAGAGCCTTGCAAGGAGTCTGTGCTCAGGAAGATTTAGGTGGTGGTTAATAAAGTCTGCGGCCTTTGTGCATTGATGGAAACTATCCAGCCTGGAGGGAAAGCACATGTCTCCAGTGGCTGTCTGGCAAGTTGAGTGCATTGTATCGGCCGTCTCCGTCCAGTTCTTGGTGGAAAGTGGATGCGTAGCCATAAAACAGTCCTTGTCTCTTAATGCTGCCATTTTATCTGGCCCAAAAAACTCTTTCCTTTGCTGTCAGCTCCACAGGGAGACTGCAGAGGCTGGGGTGGAAACGCAGCGTGCTGCCAGCAGTGCTGCCTGCACTTCTTCCATGTTTGGGAAGCTCTGTTGACCAGTTTGTAGCTGCTGGGAGAAAATGCCACCACCTTGTAGTAATTCCCATGCACTGAAAACACTTCCCAGCTGTCGGGGCTGTAGGGTCTGCAGCAGCATGCTGGGCACGTGGGTACAGGGAGTGGGTGCTTGTGGGACCCAAGGCAGGGAATGGCCCAGGAGCTCTCCTCACGAGCCTGTGCCTTGCTCAGCACCATCCTCTGCAGACTGAGCACCATGAGATGCAGAACGAGCGTATTTCTGTCTGGATCTCCAGGCTTGGTGAGCAAGGGCTGATTCTGGGCAGGACGTGGGGACACAACCCTTCCTGCTGCAGGAAGGGGGTGAGTTAATGCAGAGCCTCTCTGGAATGGGTGGTTGAAGGTGAAGGCAGCACCCTGTGGCAGAGCTGATCTCCAGGGAAGCAAGCTGTTACCAGGCTGGCACTGGGTTTCAGTTGCTTCACTCTTGCATTTGTGAGTATTTTTAAGTTTTTAAACAAGTTTCTTCTTGTTCCAGGAAAAAAAGCACAGGACAGTGTGAACTCAGAGTGATCTCAGACTCACTTTTATTTGAGCTGCTGTTCTCTTGTTGCCTCTTTTGCTGCCAGTCATGTCACTGGTGGGGTAGCTAATCCTTTGTGCCTGTGACAGAACCTCCCTAGTGCTGCCTAGGAGAGCAGTGCTTCTCCCTGCTCTGCTTGCTAATTCCCAGCACCCAAAACATGCTCCTGAAGCTCTGCAGAGGCGGTGTGTGTTGCTCTGCTTGCTGTGCTCTGACCACAGCAGCAGGGCTGTGTAAGGAAAAACTTGTTTTTCATAAGTCTTGCACTCGGATGGGTGCATTGCTCTTGCCTCTTGTGTTGTACAAACCATGCAGGCACATGTACAAACCAGCAAGTGCCTCTGACTGACGGTGTGCTCCCTTTGCCTTGCAGCTGTCCTCCATTGTCGAGATGCTGGAAAGTGCCTTTTATGGTTTAGACCTTCTGAAGCTGCACTCGGTCACAACCAAGCTGGTGGGTCGGGTGGAAAAGCTCGAGGAGGTAAGATGAGTCCCGCTCTCTCCTTTGAGGCTGTTGCCCTCAGTAGGACTCGCCTCAAGTCAAGTTCTTGGCACCTTTGGTGCATTCAGAGCCTTGTTTCTTTGGAAGAAATGTTAATTAACTATTAGGCTGAACCTAAACTTGACCAGGCGAGGCTGTTCAGACCAGACCAGACTCTTCCGTGTTCCTCACAGGCGGTGCCCAGTGCTTCACCACTCCATTAACCTCCCCTGACCCTCTCCAGTGTCCCTCCATCCCGTGTGGTTCAAACTGGATGTAGGATCCCAGCTGCAGTCTCATGGGAACCAGTATCCCTTTGGGGTCAGACAGGCTGGCTGTTAAGTTTTTCCTCTTCCAAGTTTTACATCTGTGCTGGTGTGATAGTTGCTCTGAAGTGGCTGCTTTTGTGCTGTTTGATGTGGGCACTAAAGGTTCAGGGCTGGTGTTGAGGTACGCTCACCAGGACTGCTGGTAGCCAAGGAGGTCAGATTCCTTAAGGACCAAGTTACATCTTGGCCTGTGTTAAGAAAGAGCTGAACCCTCTCGCTCCGAAAAAGATACGTAAAGTACCTTCCTCTTCTTTTCTTTGTTTTTCTCAGAGCAGACTTCCAGTGAAATACTTTTCACTCCCATGCAGTTTAATATTTCTTTGGCTAGCACAGCATAGGGTTTGCAGTGTGTTAAGCTGTGCTCAGCTATGTAGCAACAGGTTGCCAGATTAAATACTGGAGTTTTCTCCCGTGGTCCATATCTGGGACAGTAATTCCACATTCTTGTCAGAGTGGAGCAGTCCTGTTCGTCTGCAGCCAGGAGCCGAAAGGCGGTGATTTATAAAGCCAAAATTCCGCTTGCAAAGTGTTTTGGGAAGGCACGGAGTGCTTCATCCTGGGGTCAGGAAGGAGCCAGCCGAGAAGAGCGTGTTTGCCTGGGGGGCTCTGTGTTTCCAAGCACAGGGATTGACCCAGAAGGAGAAAAAAGGTTTTGAGGTCTAAAACTAACAAAGCACCAATGTTTTTGTTTGCAATCCCACCCTCTTCCTGTGGTTTAGCATGTTCTCCAGTTGTTTCTTGGGTTCCTAATTAGGGGAGAGGAGCGAAGGAAGTGGGAGCTGTGCTGCCAGCCCTGTGCTGCACGTCCCCATTGGGGAGCTTCACCCCTGTGACACTGATGGCCACAGATCTGGTGGTGTGACCTGTATCATGGCATGGTGAGCTGGTCTCCCTCAGAGCGCGGGATAGGAAGGGCCCCATCAGGACAGATTGACGCTCTATTGCTCTTTAACATCCACAGTTAGCTGGATTAGGGATGATGAAAGGAACAGGTCTTTTTCGGTAGCATTTGTGGATCTGTGGTCCATGAATTTGCCTCCCCTGAAACCAGCTGACTGCTCTTCTTTGGCACCAAAGTGGCCCTGTGTACCCGCCAGCTCCTGCACAGGGGTTCAGCGCAAGCACTGCTGGTGGCAGTTGTATGTCTAAGCACATCAGGATGACCTTGCCTCATGGCTGCTCTGCTCGCAGCCTGTCGCAGTGGTGCAGACAGGCAGGAAGCTTGGTCTGGCTGATGTAGTTTGGCCAGAGAGGGAGCAATGAAGGTGTAGGAGGGGGGAATTCACAGATTTGGGTTTTTAATTCCCCAGAAGTAGGACAGTGGGAGCATGTAGCAAGCAGTTGAAGCTGCCTGCACTCACTTGGATGGGATGGAGCAGGACAAGAGAGGTCTGGGTTGATGGAAAATCATCATCTGGTACATGGAGATTCCCCTGGTGCTGCTGGGGCAGGGCAGAGCTAATGCAGGCAGCGCAGGCAACAGGTGTGAAGTGCCTCCTGCTGCTGGCTTAGCATGTAAATTCCTGTTGGGAAGATGAGGCTCACACCCTGCATTGACCACAGGATCTGATATGGACAGCTGAGATGCTGAACAAGAGCCTGGCATGGCTTTAAAGCATCGACTTCCCAGGCGGGTGTGCTTTTGGCAGCTGCTCCCCAGAAAGCAGCTGAGCAGCCTCAAGCAGCATCACAGGCCAGGCTTCGGTGGTGCCTCCCCACACAAGGGGAGGCAGATTTTATCCCTAAAGAAGTCATAAGCCAAACATTACACAGAATAAGTGATAAGGGCACAGGGCTGTCAGGATCAGTCATAGTCCCAAGAGGAGGATGTTATCAAAGCTGCTTCTGCTCCTAGGAGAGCGTCATGAAATCCTCTGTTCCTTTTCTTACTACAGCAAAATGCTTGCTGAGAAGCCCTGTGTTGTTGGACTCAGCCGCAGAAACTGCGTTATAAATATGTGTCTCACAGTTCCTGAGTAAAGACTGGTAATTCAGATGCCCATGAAGGGGGATAGGGGTTAACTGAGCTCAGGATGGCAGTGTTGCAGAGGTGAGAAGTTATTGCGAGTTGCCTGCAGTATAACAAGGCGTTTTACACAAATGGTGTTGGTAAAGGGAAGGAATCCTCAATACTTGTTCCAAAGGGCTAGAGCCTTCTCTAGGGAGGCAGCTTCTCTGCCTTGTCTTTAGCTTGCAGCTGTTGCATCAGCTGGTGATGTTGAGGTTGCAGATGGAGGTCGTGGTGGGTTTAGGAGAAATCAATGGTGGAACAGATTGATAATGAAGAGCTGCGGGAACCACCCTCACTCTCTGTGCAAAAATGCTGTGATTGATGTGCCATCTATTCAAAGCAATAAAAGCCCAAGGAGTGATGAGCAGAGACTGCAGCAGTCTCTTGTATACCAGGTATGCCTATGGTTGGAGACTGAGAAGGGCACAAGGTTTGTCTGCCCTGAGCTGCCTGATGAGGTGCAGCCTGCCACAGCTCCCTCCTGGTCCCAGGACAGCTCTCTGAGGGTCCATGGCTCTCCTCTCCTCCCCACATTCTCCCTCTCTTCGTGGGAGTGGATGGTGGTGGGGAGGAGCAACCCCCGAGCGTGGCACTGAGCAGCCAAGCAGTGGCGCAGGACTGGGAGAAGAGAAACCAGATAAGTGGGATGCGGACATCAAGGATTTGCCTCAGGGGTAAGGCAGGCAGCAGCCAGTCAGGACGGACTGTGGACCATCCCTTGTCTTTACACGGGATAAAGTCTCCTCTCTTGCTTTTCTAGGGCATGTCCAGGAACTTCACACAGCAAGGCCACGCTGCAGCAGCCAGCGTGGAGGAGGGTCTGCAGGATCCCCACCGCAGGGACCGGGAGAACTGCTCCAGCTTCCTCACCAACAGCCTTGCTGACATCGAGGGCTCGCTGCAGCGGGACGCTGAGGCTGCCTACATGCACGCAGAGGTAGGACCGCCCAGGCGGGTTGCAGGGCTCGAGATCGCTGCTGCAGCTCCTGAGGGTGCCTCTGGATGTGGCTCCTGGCCCAGGGTTATTTTCTCCTTGGCTCAGCCCACCCCACTTCCGTGCCTCCGGCTCCAGCCCGCGCCTCGCCGCTGCCGTCGGGATGTAGGAGGGATCTGGAGCGGGCAGCTCCCCGGGCCGCCCCCCTTCCCCTGGGGCTGCTGGTGTGCGAGGTCAGCGGCGGTGCTGCTTGGAAAGCATGATGTCATTGCGGGCGGCTGGGGAGCGCTGGGAAACTCGGAGGCTTCGACTAGCAGGGCCTGGGGCTCGGTGCAGGGCAGCCTGTCGCCCTCCATCCCTCCCCAGCCAGCCCCGGCTCCTGACAGGCTCCAGGCAGAGTCTCCAGCATCTCACTGGCTCCAGCCCCAGACTGTGGGGATCCCTGTGGGGACTGCCCCCGTGCACCGGCTTTCTGTGCTGGGGCAGTGGTTTCTGTGCAGCCCCAGAGAGAGTGTTGGGAAAAGGCCTGCCCAGGGTGTCCTGAACCCCTTGCTTTTTTGCTTTGCTGCTCTGATCCATGCTGGGTGGCTGCTGGAGCATCCTGCCTTTTGCAAGGCAGAAGGAGGTGTCTGGGGATGCGGGCAGCAAACAAAGTTGCTGCATCATTTCCAGCTCAAAGAGGGGTGTTCAGGTACAGGGAGTGAGAGCATCCTGCACATGGCCCCTGCGGGTCCTACACAGGGGGATGCTCCCTGAGCCCCCGCGGGAAGGATGGGCTCCCACTGTGCACTGTGGGGCACTGACCCTGATGTGCTGTGAACTTTGCTCCAGGCAGAGCTCTGTGTCCAGCAGCACTCCCAGCACCTTTTCCCTGCTCCCCAGGCCACACCTGGAGCATGGGCTCTGCTGCCCACTGGAGAGGAGCCAGCCCAGGCCAGGCAGGAGAAGGAAGTGTGGGGCTTTTATTACCCCGGGTGACCTCATTTCCCAGTGTTCCTCTTTTCTCACTGTTAATTGCAGCAGGGCTGTGAAGGAGCCCTGTGCCTGTCTGCTCAGCCAAATGGGCACTGCTTCAACCTTTCAGCTGTCTTTCCGATTTCCTTTAATGAGATGAAATCCATCAGGCATGAGCTGTGGCAGCTGGTGGCTGCCTCAGTGCAGAGCTCCCGCTTCCTGCCCTGGCTGGCGAGGTCCCTCTCCCTGCCCTGGGGATGGTTCCTGGTGCCTGCCTGTCAGGACCTTCAGCCTCTGCTCTGCCAAAGCCCAGTGCACATTGCACGCTCTCCATGGATCAGGTGCTGACAGTGCAGGGGGAGGATGTGTGAGCAGTTGCAATGAGGACTGTACCCTGAGAATGCTGCCCCGGGGTCCCCTCTCCCTGCCCTCACATCCTGCATCCCACAGCCTGTGCCTTACTGAGCACTGGGTCCCAGTCTTGCAGGGTGGCACCAGTGCCATGCAGAGACAGTGCTTGTCTGCCACCCCTGCTGCCTCCTGAAGGGTTTCTCCCAGTGGAGAAAGGGCTGAAGATGACTCTGAGAAGGGAGGGAGGACAGTGTCCTACCCAAGGCTCAGCTGGCCAGCCTGACCTGCCCCATCTGCCAAAACATGGCTATTCTGGCTCATCCACTAACAACCTCCTGCATCTCTTCCAGGGAAAATATGAAGAAAGATTCCTGAAAGAGGAAACCATATCCCAGCAGATCAACTCCGTTGAGTCCCTGCCGGAGCTGCACCTCTCTCCGGAGGACGAGAAGCCTGAGCAGCTCTTGCAGAGGAAGCTACATGTGAGGAGCCGTCCTCCTTCCAAGCCCACTGTTGTCCGAGGGGTCACCTACTACAAAGCCCAGTCCACTGAGTCAGAGAATGACATCGAGGAGCAACGTGAGTTGGGTTTGCAGCCATGTCCAGTAGGATGGTTGCATCCTGCTGCACAACCAGTGTCCACCCCTGAGTCCTGCCTCATCCCCTGGGAGGCACATGGGGTCACCATAGGAGAAGGGCTTGGAAGTGGGATGATTGGTACTTCACCCCTGTGCAGCCTTTGAGCCCTGCGTGGGGGACCACTACAGCACTGTTATTCCATAGAGAATCCCTGGTAGCTAAGGAAATAGGTCACTGCTTTAGTTTAAAATACCCAGCACCAACACCTTTCCAAAAGTAAATGCAAGTTTATTACATGTTAGTCCTGCAAATGTGCCTGCCCAGGGATGTTTGTGCAGTGGTCGGGGTGCTGGAAGGCAGCCTGGGTTAGGAGGGTGGGATCTGGTTGGGTACTGCAGTTGTGTCTCTGTCCTGTCCCAGGCAGCATGGAGCCCCTGCTCCATCTCTGGGAACTCCCAGGCCAAATCACTCTCCATCACCTCCTGCTCTGCCCAGCCTGAGGTGGTGGATGTGGCTGCGATGGGGTCTCACTGACCATCAGCCCCTGCAGTTCACACAGCCCTTCTCCAGCTGGAAATTAAGAGGGAAACCAGATGGATTTAGTACAGCCTGGACAAGTGGGCGGAGGAGCAAGAGCAGTGGGGTAGGTGCAGAGGGGCTGTACAGGACTTACTCCTGCTCTCTGTGGGGCTGATGCCCATGCCTGTATTTGCCAGCGGACGAGCTGTTCAGCGGGGACAACACGGTGGACCTGCTGATTGAGGACCAGCTCCTAAGGCCCAGCAGCAGGGCGGGTGAGGACATAAGGAAGCCCGCCCCGGTGGGATGGCCGCCCACCCCTGGCAGTGACCCTACCACCCCGCCAGCCACTGACACCGCCACGATGGCCACAGTGCCCCTGTCCCCTGCCGTGTCCACAGAGCCCACGCTGGATGCCACCCCAGAGACCATGACCGCCCCGTCGGGGCTGGTGGAAGAGGAAACTCCACAGCTACTGGCAGCCTTGGCCAGCACAATGGTGGCCACAGCCACAGAAAGCCCATCTACAACCACTACTGCTGTGCCCAGCCCTGCCATGGCCACTACCACTGGCACCTCAAGGGACATGGGGATGAGCCCTGCCCCAGAGAGCAGCCCGGGAGTCTGGGGACCAGCAAGCACCCCTCCGACACCAATCAGTCCCACCATCCCTGCCACGCCAAAGCAAGCGCTGGAGGAGGAGGACATCAGGAACATCATTGGTGAGTGCCTGCACTGATCCAGCTGCCAGCATGAGGGCTGACTTGTGCTCGCAGTGTGTTCTGCTAAGCACAGCACACCTGAATTCAGTCATGGGTGGGAGGTGCCATGGAGATGGTGGCTGGACAGCACTGTACTGCGGTGCCAGGTTTACTTGCTTGTTAACTCTGGAGCCTACTGCAATCTCCTCTCAGCTTGAGGGGCCAGGCAGGGAAGAAAGAGGCCTCCCTGGAGATGGACCCAAGACAGACAGCAGCCTCAGCTGGGGCAGGAACATGGCTGAGGCTGTTGGGGAACTGTTTGCAGGATCTGGCCAGTGCTGCTGGACCTCATAAGGCTGAGCCCAGGCTGAGGCAGTTGGGGTACCTGCTGGGTGGGTGGGCAAAGGGCTGGAGGAGGGTGATGCCTGCAGACCCCCAGCAGCAGCAGGGAGAGCATGGCTGTGCTACCTCTGGCCTTGTAAGCTTTTCTCTGCCTGTGCAGGGCGCTGCAAGGACACGCTATCCACCATTTCGGGGCCCACCACCCAGAACACCTATGGGCGCAATGAGGGTGCCTGGATGAAGGATCCCCTGGCACAGGAGGAGCGTATCTATGTCACCAATTACTACTATGGGAACACGCTGGTAGAGTTCAGGAACCTCGACAACTTCAAGCAAGGTGGGTTCGCACCATCTCCAATGCTGCTCGACTGCTCTGAGTAGTGTCCCTGTCCCTGGGATGCTGCACCATGGGGGGGTTGTCTGGCCAGGGACCCTCCCCTCTTGGTGGTGTGTGGAGTTCAGAGCACAGGGCAGGTCAGGCTGCCCCTTGTGATCCTGGACTTGCCTGGCACTACACCAGGCGGCTGCTGGTGGCTGGGGAGGGAGTGCAGCAGGGCTGTGGGCAAAGGGTGCTGCTGATGGGGCCACCAGCCCCAAAGCAAAGGGTCTCACAAGCAAGGTGTCTCTGCTGCACAGGTCGCTGGAGCAACTCCTACAAGCTCCCGTACAGCTGGATTGGGACGGGGCACGTGGTCTACAATGGCTCCTTCTACTACAACCGGGCCTTCACGCGCAACATCATCAAATATGACCTGAAGCAGCGGTATGTGGCTGCCTGGGCCATGCTGCATGATGTGGCCTATGAGGAGTCTACCCCGTGGCGGTGGCGTGGCCACTCAGATGTGGACTTTGCTGTGGATGAAAATGGCCTGTGGGTCATCTACCCAGCCATCAGCTATGAGGGCTTCAACCAAGAGGTGATTGTGCTGAGCAAGCTGAACGCGGCCGACCTCAGCACCCAGAAGGAGACCACGTGGCGGACGGGGCTGCGGAAGAACTTCTATGGGAACTGCTTTGTCATCTGTGGGGTCCTGTATGCGGTCGACAGCTACAACAAGAGGAATGCCAACATCTCCTATGCCTTTGACACGCACACCAACACGCAGATCATCCCCCGGCTGCTCTTTGAGAATGAGTACGCCTACACCACACAGATAGACTATAACCCCAAGGACCGCCTGCTCTACGCCTGGGACAATGGGCACCAAGTCACCTACCACGTCATCTTTGCCTACTGAGACCCCCGGCACAGTGGGGCACTGCGAGACAGGGGCCACCAGCACCTTTTGTTATTATTTTTATTGTTATTATTGTTATTTTGTACAAATCAAAGAGTAAATGATGGATTTTTAAGCTGTTTTTTATGGCGGATTGTAGATCGATCCCCAGGCCAGAACCACCCCCTTTCTCTGCTGTAACCTTGCTTCTGGCTTTCCTTCCTGCAGGGAGGTCTTCCTTCAGTAGAGCAGACCCAGCTCTCCTGCCTGGGAGAAGAGGTGGCCTACATGCAGTCCTCCTCAGAGCTTTCATCTAACAATGCTCACCAAGAGACCCACAACCAGTGCAAAGGTGGCCTTCCTGCTGCAGGCACCAGGTCCCAGTGGGATGCTGATGTCTGCCTGTCCTTGTGGAGGATGTGCATGTCCCGTGGGACTGTCCTGTCTCCCACAACCATCTTCCCAGCCGACGGTCAGCAGGCCCTTTGGCGATCCTGCTGTACAATGGGGCTGCCAAGTGCAGCTCCAGCAGCCCCTGGTGCTGGCACTTAGGCCGAGGACTGTCCCCTCCAGCCTGGGCTCTGCCCTTTGCAACCTGCTCTGGGGGGCCGGGTGCACCCTGAGCCCCGACTTGCATTTGGAGTGAGCTGCCGGTGGGGACGGGACACTGTAAATACGTGTAGATGGCTTTTGTTTGTTCATTTTGTAACCCCAAATAGTCCCCATTACTGGTTGTTGGGCAAAGGCTTTGCTCGGCCAGGCGCTGGGCTGCCTGGGTGGGGAGCTGCACATGTGGGGAAGCCCTGGCTCCCCATGCCTGTGCCGCTCCGTCTCTCATGTGCCCTCTCACTGCCATGCTTGCCCTGGTCCTAGCTGCTGGCCATCAGGAGCCCCTGCCCTTCTGCCCAGCAGCATCTTGTATTTACCTGCTGTCAACAATAAAACATCCAGTACCTTTGCAGCTGTCTGGGGCTTTCTTTGGGTCTGGTTCACCCTCTGGGTGCATGGAAATGCATGGGAGGGTGGTGGTGTTGGTTGTTTTGGGGAATGCCCATTTACACATAAAGAGGCTCTAGGCTGCTTATGCCCGGCAGGAGGGGAGGGCAGGGCAGCATGGCCGTGTCCAGACATGAGAAGAGCTTGGTTCTATCATGCCTGCAGTTGCCCCCAGGTCACCCAGGCTGTGGTGGCTCCCTCCTCCCCAGGCTCTGAGTGAGCAGCTCATGCAGAGTGCCCTCCTCATGAGCAGGAGCAGGGGACTGGGTGCATGTGCCTCTGCCAGCAGCAGTGCTGTGCAGCCCAAGAGGCAGCGCTGACCTAATCATTTGCTTAAGCAAAGCAGTGTCAACAAGCAAAATAGTAATAATAAATAAAATAACCATTTTATTGCCTTCAGTACTAGGGACACAGAGAACAGAACTACACGGGCCAAGAGGTGCTCTCCGCCACTGAAGCCCTGGGTGCTGGCTGAGAATGTGGTGCCACAGCCATGCCCGAGCCCCCAGCCCCCCAGGCAGCCCTTTCCAACGGGCTGGGCTGTGCCAAGCTCATCCACCACGCCAGGCCCCCCCCACCAAGGCTGGTCACTCCTGTGCAGCGCTGTGGGGAGCTGCGTGCCGCTGCCTGGGGCACTGCTGGGGTTTGGTTTTGACTATTGTGTGAGCTGGCCCACAGTCAGGTGGGGCCGGGCCAGGAAAGGAACTGGTGCAAGGAGCACAGCCAAAGCCCTCACCGAGCCCGGCTGCTTCCCAGCAGCGCAAGCGCCGAGGGGACTGGGGGCCTGTGCAGCTCACGCTGACTACGTGGCAAAGGGCAAAGCTTTTCCATAGTGTTGCAAGGCACATACTTTACAGGGTGTATTGCTCCTCACCCTCCTCCTGGCCTCCCCCAAGCTGTTTGTCTTGCTACAGGATCAACCTTTATTTCCTAACAGCTGCACACACAAATAATATTAATAACAATAATAATGATACTAAAAACACCCCACATCAGTCAGCAGTTCAGACAATGAAGGCAGTTGGCTGGCAAACTGAAGCCCATGATTTTATATGCTAACTGCAAAGGGGAAAAAATATAATGTAACATGCTGAAGTCATTAGGAAAGGCCGATGCTCTGCTGGGGTCTCATCCCAGCTGAACACAGCAGCGCACTGCGTGCTGGAGCTCCATGGCCCAACTCCGGCCTGGCAAACTCGGGACCAGTTAAGAGAGCTCTGCAGCAGGCTGTGTAACGGCAGCACTCGGCTGCAGCAAGAGCCATGTCTGGTTCTTCAGTGCTCAAGGACAAGCAGCAGCTGCTTTGCTGCGTGATGGGTGGCTGTCAGCGCAAGGCAGAGAAGGGGTGTGCAAGTGTCTGCATGTCAGGAGGGAGGTGATGTTCTTGTGTCCCACTGAACTAAAGCAGCTCTTCTGCCCCAGCAGATCCAACACTGCTTCATAGGCTGTTAGCAGTGAAAAGCATTAAATACAAAATAAAATAAAACAAACCAAAACCAATAAACAAAAACAAACACCCCCCAACAAACAAATGCAAAAAAAACCCAAACCAAGCAAGAAACAGAAGGAAAAAACCAACCAAACAAAAAAAGAGCAGTATGCTCTTCACAAATACATGTGCTCCACTAAATCACCACCCTTGGGGCAAGCTCCAACCTTTTACCACTCTGTGTGTGTGTACACACTGCCTCACCCCTACCACCGTGGTAAGCTGTTCTGCTTGTAGTGCTCTGGCTGTAAGTGGGGGTTCCCACCATCCCACAGTGTGGCTGGGGCTGGGTTGCCCCATGGCACTGCTGCCAGTCTGGGCAGCAGCCCAGGGCTTCCCAGCAAGGGAGGCTGCATGGGCAGGGATTTGAGCAGGCATATGGGGTTGAAGTGGAGCAGGACTATCTGTCCAGGCCCAGCACAGCCACTCTGGCAGACGAGGGATGCTCCTGTCCCCGGGGTGTAGGGCCGGGGCTGGAGTGGCAGGCTCCGTGTGGGGTGCAGGGCTGTGGATCTCCCTGTACTTGCAGGGATAGCTTACTGAAAGCTTCCTCCTGCTGCCCCGAGCGCACGGCAGGGAGGGAAGCCTGATCTTGAGGGAAGCCTCTGCAGTGGTGTCCCTGCGCAGGACCACAGGACCCCACCTAAGGAGTAGTTTAATGGGGACAAAAACAACCAACAAAAAACCAACAAACCAAACAACTCACAGCTCTGGACAGTGTGTAAGTAGCAAGGACGGCCTGTGACCTTTGTCCTCCCTGTGCCAGCCCCGGGCACCAGTGGCTGACGCCAACACCAGGACTGTGGCAGAGTGCCCCACCCACACCCTTGGGACCAGGCATTGCACGTGGCATGGGTCCCCCAGGCCTGTCCCTGCCAAGGAGCCAGCTGAGCAGTATAATCCCTGGGCAGGATACCGCTGCTGGGGAGGGTCAGGCACAGGAATGGGCTAAGTGGGGTCTGCCCTTGTTGTGCTGATGTGCCAGGAACCCTAGAGACCTGCTGGCAAAGGGGCTCAGTCTGGCAACAGGACCTGCTGTGTGCCAGGTGCTGCTGCTGCAGGAACTACTGCAGAGATTTGACAATAGCCCTCAGGGCATGGGGCGTCTCTGGGACAGAGGGAGATGCGCTGTAGAAGGTGTCAGTGTGGTTTCTGCGCTGCTCCCGGAGGTATGGTGGGACAGATGAACTTTTGATGTGGAGGATCCTGGTGTCCATCACTTCACAGTCGATCTGCATCATCACCTCGTAGTCCTGCCCGTTGATCACATTCTCTGCAAAAGTAAAAGAAAACCCCAAAGTTGAGACTTAGCCCTGCAAACTGGTGATCCCACAGCACCAAAACCAGAACTTTCTGGACCTCTTTCTGTCTGGAGCAGAAGCTGGAGAGGGAGACCCCAGTTGTTTTTGCAGCTCCACACACGGAGCTCCATCTCACACAGTGCAGCCCCACCCTGCTTGTGACACCTCAAAGGGCTCAGGCCACCCCAGGCATCTGCAGGCACACACAGAAATTAATGCAATTTCTTTCCCCCTTTGTCATCTGCACATAATTACTGATGGACTTTGTATTGTATAAATTTATTACCTAACTTGTCCCTGAGCCACTAAAGCGTAGGGGTGAGTGAAGATAGAGTTTATTTAAGCAAGCTGAATGTTTCACTTTCTTTTTATTGGGTTAAGAATACTGTAACCCCTTGACATTGAGGATCTAGAAGAGTTTCTTCACCAGATTATTAATAAAAAAAGTTAAAATGCAATCGCTTGAAAGCATTAACTGTGCCTCATTACCACCCAGACCCAGCTGTTGTTAGTTGCATGATGTTATGGTGACACTGGGCAAGGCCATTACCCTGAGACACCTCTGGACATAGGGAGACCCAGGGCAGCAGAGGGGATCCTGGCACAAGGGCATGCCAGGCTGCATCACCCCAGCGCAGTCCCAGAACAGGCACGTCTGCTGCTGCAGAAGCTCCTAGGCTTACACGCAGAGGATGTGCACATGTTTAGCATCTGCTCCCTAGATTTAAAGGTGGGAGACTATTCCCTGCATAGACAGTGTGTCCAGGAATGAGAGTCGAGATCAGATTTCCAGGCACAACCAATCCTTGCCTTTCAGAGTCAGAAGACTGCCATTGGCAGGGTTTTCTTTCTGTGCTAAGAAGGATGGAAGATCACCTAATGGAAAGCGTATGGATTGGAGGAATGCAATATACATTACTAATTTTTACTGTTTTCCTGGATTAACTCTGACTCTGGATGACAGCTGACAACCACGGCCAGACCCTCTTGCACCCCATGCCACCTGTGGAAGCCATTAGATCTAGTATGTCTGGTATAGTAATGAAAAGCAGGAGCAAACCCTTGCTAAGGGGCTGAGAGCCTGTAAGTGAAATCAAAGCTCCCACCTGCAGAAATGGAATGGAAAAAGGTCTGCATGTGCCACTGAGTGACCAAGGCCAGGAGCAGCTGTTCCATGTCTCTGTATTGCTGACCCAAACACCACAACAAGCACCTTGTCTCTCCTGGTCCCCAGATGGGACCCTTTTAGACACCATGCCTCCAGGTCACTCCTTCTCTCATCCTTTGGATATGCTCTTGGTTCCCACCCAACAAGCTCAGGACCAGATGGTTGGAGGGGTCTGTGCTGGCAGTGCAGCTCAGGCAAGGGGGCTGCACAGGGCAGCGGAGGGGCATAAGGGGAAGTTGGCAGGAAAGTGGAGGGGCAAAGAGCCTGGAGACAGCAAATGGGAACAGGTCAGTTTCCTGTGATACAGCAAGCTGAAAGCACAGCTCCTCAGCTCTCACACTGCAGACAACAGCTCGATAGGACCCTGGCTATGTAAGAATATGCGCTCCAAAGCCACAAGAAGGTAAGGTGGGATGGGATGGCAGCCAAGGCCAGGAAATCCTTTTGTAAGGCAGTAAGACTTTCCCGTGTCTGCCTGCAGTAGTCAGTGCAGTGGGCTATCATTAGGTTCCCTGGCATTGCACAACATGGAGAACAGCAATCCCGGGAGCAGCCCGTGGAGGGAGGGAGCTGCGCTGTGTGTGTGGCAGCAGGGAGCATGGGAACCGGATCAGCACATCACAGCCAGCTGGGATCCCGCTTCTCCCAGAACGGACACAGGCTCCCCCTGCGAATAAGTGACCACGATTAAGTAAGCCACAGGTCTGCTACCCTGTGCACGAGGTGCTGTGTCTTCTGAGGCCACCACAGCTGAGATAGCTGGGAGGAATCATGCTCCCAATGAGCCTCTGGCCAGCAGGCATGGAAGGGACTCACACACCCAACTCTGGTACTTGCAAAGTGCTCAGATCCTGTCCTGTGTATGTGACTTAGTCCAGGAGTGACACTCAGGTTTAAAGGCAGATGCCTGATTCTTTCCCCTTTTAGGTTGAAGGCATTGTAGATGAAGAACAACTGCAGGGAGACTCTGCAAAGGGACTTGTCTCACAGGGATAAGGATGGTAGCGGGAATGGCTCAATTCCCAGTACAGACATTTTTGGCAGCCTTTCTCATTGCCATTAGCACCAAACTGACATAGCAGTGGAGGTGACACTTGCCACAAACACAGGAGCCACTGCTTGGTGATGCTGCCTGGACCAGCTGCGCTGAAAGGAGCAGTCTGAAGGCTGTGCCAGCCCCAGGACGCGTGGCCATTACCAGAGACCCTCCCCAGCCCACCCCAGCCTGGAGGGTGGAGTGGCTGATGTTCTGTGTAAGCCCATGTGATGCTCTCAGCAAAACACCAGGCAAACGTGACCTGAATGCAGCCAGAGCAATCCGATGTTTGGAAAGATTAGCTCACTGTCAAAGGGGCAGGCATTGCAAAAATGATTCCACATGGCTCTGTCCTGACCTCGATGCCATTAAATTGTTTCATGATCTGGATAAGGAATAGAGAGCATACTTGTAAGATTTCTGGAAGATGCTGAACTGGAGAAATTTCAACCACCTTGGAGTACTGGATTAGACTGCCGTTTTGATAAGACAGGCTGTCCAAAACCTTCAAGATGCATTTCAGCCAAGGCCAGAGTGAAGTACAAGGCTCAGGAGAACTGGAAAACATGACTACAAAATGGGGCTGGGCAGAAGCATTGCAGAAAAACCTTGAGGACTGCAGATTACTGTGGATAAGCCAACAGCATGACAGGACTAGAAATCAGCTCAATCTCAAGAGAAACAGATTTATCTTTGCAAAGTTTCTAATCATAATGAACTGCAAGCCCTGTCTGAAGCTACCTCAGGAGATCAGAGGGCATCTGCGACTGTCAGTTTTTAAGGAAAGGCTTGATGACCACATCTCAGACAAGACCCACGGTACCGGACTCTTACTCCCCACAGGCACAGGCACTTGCATTTGTTCCTGGTACCTCTGGCCCAGCCTTTCTGTGAGCTGCCTGCTCATGACTGGAGCCCCTTAGGGTAGACTGCAAGCAGTCATTAAACAGCTCAGCTCCACAAAGAAGCCAACATAATTCACTGAGCTGTGATGACTCTCTCTACTCTTTGCTCGTGACAGAAACAAGGCAGTGCAACTTGGGCAAAGCCCTTGCAGTGAGATTTGAGCTGATGTTTCCCACAGGGAAGTGATGCACACCTCCAGTGCCTATGGTTCAGGCAGCGGTGAGAACTGTGCCGATTTTCCTTGATGGCCAGTTTAGATCCAGTGGCTACATATCTGGACACACTCAGCTGTGCTATGCCTAACCCCTTGTCAGCAAGTGGCCAATATCTGAAGTAGAGTTGTGGATTCCCCATGGGACCCCGTGGCCTGTTCTGTGGATGAGGCCACAGAACAGGCCAACAATTTTGCCTGGTGATTTCTGCATCAGAACTTTTAAGAGTAGCCTGATCAAGCTTTCTTTCCTTTCCCTTCCATGAGGACATCTGGCATGATCAACATCTGAGAGACACCAGTGGAGCACCAAGGCAGAGAAACCCTGACGAGTGTGGAGCTCACCAGTTGCATGTGGCTGATCTCTGGAGGCACCAGAGTATGTAACCGGTGCTTTCTCTCAACACTCAGGTCAGCATGTACTGCCCTGCCTAAGCATCCACCCATCGCGTCTCACAGAGAGGCGAAGGCAGGCAGGGCTGACTGCCTGAAGTTGCTGCCTGCTGCTGCTGCTTGTTTGCTGGCTGGAAGGTCAGCACCGCCAACATGCATTGCACAGGTTGGCTTAATAGCCCAGAGCAACACTTGACACTGAGTTATTTCTAGAGTTTATTGTCTTCAGTTACCTATGACTGATGTTTTGTAGGATTACATAAGCGAAAACTCAGGAACAGATCTCCTGTAGAGGTGTCTGGATTTATAAATAGATTTATTTCTCCTCTTTGAAGTTCAGAACACACAGCCTCTCACACGGTACAGCCTCAGGCTTCAGAAGCTATCCTTCCCAGGCCAAAAGGCTGTGTTACAGTTAATTATTTATTAACAGGTTTAAAAGCCGTGCTTCAGATGACACTTCAAATCAACAGCACAGGTAGTTGTGCCAACATTGCTATTCTCTGACTGCACCTTCTCACCAAGGCTCACTGGCTTTCCTAGCCAGTACCACACTCCCAGCACAAGCTTGGTCTAAGGAACAGAAATCTAACTCTGCAGTGCTGCTCTCCAGGGTTTATGGCAGTTCCTCTAAAAAGCAAACATGTTGCTAGATCCCACTGATGAAAGCTGAAGTCTGCAGTCCAAACCAGAAACATTTAGCAAATAAGGCTGAGGGTAATAACTACTGTTACAAATTACAGGAGATGATGGAAGATTGTCTTCATATTTGAAACACTAAATTTACACAACTGGCTTAACAGAGAGACCATAAAGCCAAAGTTCTCCTTCTCCCCTTAGTAGTACTGGTGGGTATCAGTAAGTTGAACATTCAAATGTCCATCTTTGAGATCAGGCATCTACTTATATAAGATATGCTGTCTTAGAGAAAGGCAGAAGACAGGCAGAGGGCTTGAGAGGTGAGCAATGAAAATCTTAGTGTCTGTTCTGTAGTAAGTCAGAACAAATGGTGATGTCAATTGTCTCTAGATTTAAACTCTACACGTTGGTTGGCTGTTTGGCCCTATGGATGCAGTCATAAGGCAGAACCACATTATTCTGGTATTTTGCCCCTTCCCGCTTACATATACCTTCCCCAAAAAGCTCTGCTGCAGGAAAATGCTTGCCTTGAAAACTGCACAGTTTGCAGAGAGGCTGAAACAGAGCTCCTCTGAAATGCCACCTGACCTTGCTGAACTGTTTCAGGGCTGTAACCAAG